GGAGGGGATGAGGACGGTGAGGGCGGCTGGGGCAGCCGGGAAGGCAGCACAGGCGAGGCGCGGCGCACCTCAAACTCGAGCGAGTAGCGGGAATATCACCCGCTGCTCCGGCGGGAGAGTGCTCCCCGCCGCCCCCTGGGTCACCTCGAGTGACCTCGCAGCCCACACCGCGAGGCGCTGCTGTCAGGGGGGTGTATCACCGCCGTATCAACCCCACACTCCGTCGCCCAGCCGCCGACAGCGGGGCGCTTGCTGTCGGGACGCGCAGTCTCGACAGCGGAGCGCGTGCTTCTTGCCGGCGGAGCAGCAAGCTCCTCAGCAGCGAGCGCAGAAGCTTTCTTGCGTACCGCCGCCGCGCAGTCCCTATGGATGCACGTCGACGCCGGAGACGCCGGCCCGAGCGCTTCTCCTCGCTCTAGAGCCACGGCGGGCAGCCCGTTGACCGCCTCACCGCCTCACCGCCCAGTTCGTGGTCCCGCACCACCAACAGCCGTCCATCTGAACGGCGACGGAGGCCAAGCCCGACGTCTGGGCTCTAGCCGATCACCTGGCCGCCCGCGACGAGCCGCCAGTCGGCGTGGCGGCGAGGAAGGGAGCGAGAGCTCTCCAGTGCCGCTGTTGTGGAGACCCCCCGTCAACCCTTTAGTTGGGGGTTGAGGCCTCCGGGGCGTATTCACAGGCTCGCGCGTGATCACAAGATTGGAACAGCCCTGCCGCCAAAAAAATCGCTTCGCCTGCGGCGCGCTCTTGCGGTCCTCGTACCTTGAGCGCAATCCATAAGTAGGAGACGCTCACTGTCGCCATTCAGGCGCCTGATCCTTCAGCAAAGCGATGGCCTACCAGGTACGAGTTCAGATGCGCGCCCGGCAGAAGACGCTTGTGATGCCGCATGCATGCAGTGGAATGCGCACAGAGAACGGACGGCAAGAGAAGGCAAGGGAAGGAAGATAAACGGCTGGTGAAGCTCAGCTTACGGCGTAGTATTGCGGTCACTAACCATTCACGGCAAGAGTCACGGTGAATGCTGCAAAATAAAAAAACCAACAGAGTCGCGGTTGGCGCGATGGTCTTGTCGCGGTTATATAACGACTTGACGTTGCACACGGCCATAGACGCAGTATCTGTTTGGCGAGCCTCAAGCAGCGAAAGCAGGCGCGAGAAATTAATGTCAATCCTGAGATCTCAATTTTGGCGCTAGTTTCGTTTTCTGGTACATCATGACGACTTGGGTCTCATGTAGCTCTCGACGGCTCTTCGACGGCTCTTTCTGGTTGGATCAGACAGTGCTATCAGTCAACAACACAATGCCGAGAGCAGGGCGGCCTTCGAGCAGGGCGGCCTTCGAGGCAACTAAGTTCCTGCTGCATTTTTCATCGTACAACTTGATGGCGGGCGGACGTGTCGAGCATGGAAGGCGGCCATTGCTCAAACCTGTTCGAGTTGGCCTCCGGGAACAAGGGTGCGTGGCCGGCGCGGTCTGTTTCACGTGCAATAAGGGCAACGCCATCAAAATCGCGAACATGGGCCGACATGCCTCCGACATTTCTCAGGGCTCGCGGACGGAAGCTCTGCAGACAGCCAGACCGCTCTGCGCGGTCGGACCGACTTTTTCAGACTTTGCTATTCTGGATACTGAGGGTATGTGCTGCTAGATCTCACTGAGCTGAGCTCGTATCTGGCTTTGGTAAGCAGTTTTGAGTTCGGTAATGTCTCCGGAGACGGAGGGCCGCGTCCGCGGACGACCACGACGTCGGCCGGGATCCCCCCGTGCGGGCGGGGGCCTTCGACGCGCCGTTTTTACGATACTTGCTTCAGCTACGTGCGTGAATGGGAGGTGTGATGCAGCATCCAGGCGTTAAAGAAGACGACATGAATGGTTCACAGAGAATGTGTGTTCAGACCTTTGCGCGGGGGGTGTGAACAGCCATTCCGCGTGGTTGAGGGGTTGAAGGGGTCTGTCAACCACTTGGTTGAGGGTTGAGGCCTCTGTCAACCACGTGGTTGACAGTTGAGGCAATCGGCCTCAACCACCGCTCTGAGTAGAATTCACAGCGATGCCCGAGGGAAATTCGCGTGGAAATTCGATCCGCCGACTCAGGGAGGGGTCCTCTATCGGGGAAGGAGGTTGCGGGAAAAATCTGAGAAATCACCCCCAGCCTTCCCCCTCCCGGCGAGTCGAGGGGAATCGCCCCGCCTCGATCAAAAAGAGCGCCTTCGGCACTACGCTCTCTCGAGGTCTCGCGGATCTTATAAATCAGCCGAACGGATTTGTATTCAGCGGGGCACGTGCGGAACGGAAACCGTGCCGTCTGTGTAAACACTCGTGTCCTGCTGTCAAAAGCTCAAGAGTTAAGACAGGGACGTACTCGAGTAGAGCTCTACATGCAAGTACGCCTCAAATTTTCTCTCCGGCTCGCTCCGCTCGCTTCTGTGCGCAAGAGCCGGGCCTCGCACGCCTGACGCCGGCGGCTCCTGGCCCTACTCTATGGGTTAGTCTATGCAGAGAACCCAGCCGGGGCGGCCGCCGTAGCTCTCGGCCCTTTAAGAATCTTAAGAATTTAAACAAGACAACTCTCTCTCACAGCACACAGGCTCGACACAGGTGCGAACTGGCGCGTGCTAGTACTATCACCGGCACACCACCGGAGCCGCCTAAGCGACTCCGTTAAGAACGGCAATGCACTTCGCTCCGTGCACAATGCCGCTGTCCCCGCACGCTAGCTCGTTCACCGTCTGCCACGCCACGGCGGTGTGGAGAACGACAGACAAGCGCTGCATCTGCAGCCCGTGCCAGTTCTTGGTGGTCCATGTGACCTCATCGAGGTGCTGAGCGTGCGAAAGTTTGTTACTCAGCTGGTCCGCCGCCTGCCGAAGAATTCTGCGGACGCCGTCCCCGAAGCCGCCGAACGTCTCGAAGTCGAGCAAACGCAGGTCGCAATTCTTCTCCCGCGCGAACCGGTACTCGCCCTTCTCGTAGCGGGCCGTCACAGGTGCCCCCGCCTCCGCCTCCCCCTCACTCTCCCCCTCCTCCTCTTCCGCCGCCGCCGCCTCCGCCTCTGCATCCTCCGCCTCCCTCCCCCCCTCCCCCCCCCCCTCCGGCCGCGGCCATGCAGCATGCCCTAACACTAAGTCGAGCAGCGCCCGCTCGGTGTTGCCGAAGGCGACAAAAGCCCCCTTCCAGCCGAGCCGATCGCCACCCTTGCACGTAAGCGAGCTCGTGAGTTTCAAGTCGCCAACGAGGCGCACATGCCCTTTGCCGATGTTCGCCGCCGCCACGTCAGGTTGTTTTGGGTTACTGTAACTGAGGTGTGCAGTCGGCTCCATCTCGATGAGCATGCCCCACGCCGAGCGAAGGGTCTTGACGAGTCGTTTGAGCAGGTATTTGTGTCGTGTCGCGTGCTTCGCACGCGGGTTGACCATTGCGGCATCGCCGAGTTCTTCGTGCGGCTTGCCGTTTGGCGCCTTCTTGCCTGCCTCCACCGCCTGGCAGGCAACATCGAGCGGGAGGCCGAGGCGGCGCTGAACTGTGATGCGCATCGCCCACGTCTCCATCTTCATATCATCCCGCATGGGGATCGCATTCAGGAAGGCGCCAGCCCCCTCCTGGCTGACTGCGACGAACCGAATCGCCTCGCGCCAGCACTTGTGGTTCTTGCACCTGCCAGTCTTGTAGCGGCCGCCCCGCCGGGATGCCTCGCTGACGAAGGCGTCGAGCTCCGTAGTTGCGCGCGGACGCCCCCAGCGAAGGCCATGGCGTCGCGTGTCGGCGGGCCGAAGTAGCGCTCGTCCTCCTTGGCGAAGGCCTCCGCGCTGCCAGGCATCTCTCCGGCGAGGGCGTCGGCCAGCTGCACGGCGCCGTCCTCCGCAGACACGCCGCAGCAGCGCTGCCAGTGGTCGTCGAGCGCGGAGGCCTGCGCCTCGTGCTGAAGGAGGCAGGCGTGGAGGGCGGTGGTGTTCACCACGGGATCGTCGTCGCCGTCCGGCCCGGGCCCGAGGAAGGCGTCGAAGTCGTCGTCTGAGCAGTTGGCCACGTAGAAGAGGACGTGGCCGTGGCAGAGGCGCCGCCTCGACGGGTCCGAGCACGAGGAGCAGCAGCATGCGAGAGAGCAGCCCGCGAGCTCCCGCCGGATGCGTGCCGCGAACGCAGGGCTAGCCCGCAGCAGCTCAGCAAACTCCTTGACGCACGCCCTGCGCTCCTCCGAGTTGTTGGGATTTCGGAGAGGGAAGGGGTTGCCGAAGGAGAGCACTGCGCACTGCTCGCCCAGGTCGAACCCGGACCCGCGCCGCGGGGCGAAGCAGCTCTGACAGCCGCGGCAACGCATGATGTTCTGCCATGCCTCGCTGCCCTGCCTCGCTGCCTGCTGCATCTCTGCCCTGTTGCCCACCCTCTGGATCGCCTCTCGGATGACAGCAGCATTGGGCAAGAGGACCCCAAGCACCTCGCTGAGCTGATCCTCAAGGTCGGCATCTGACGCGGGCCAGCTGCCACAAGCCAGCTGGCGTGGCAGTGGACGACCGGCCGGATGACAGAGCCGAGCTGCTGCGAGGCGCGAGCCTGCTGCGAGGCGCGAAGCCTGCTGCGAGGCGCGAGCCTGCTGCGCCGCGCCAGCCTGTTGCCAGGCCAGCGCCGGCTGCGCCAACCTGGCATCTCCTTTTAAACGCGCCTTCCCGCACGCCACAACTCTCTGGCCCACCCTTACCCGGGATCCCGGTCATAACGATTCGAATCTTTTA